AGCGCCGGCCTGCACGGGTCAGCCAGGGCTCAATCCTGCCTCTCTGCGGGCTTTTTTGGCTGCTTATCCTGAGAAAGGGAGCATCAGGGATGCTTTTTGTTTCAAAGGAGAGACCCTGTGTACAATTAAAACTTGTTTCTGGTAAACCTCATTCCAGGAAAGATGAGCTTTTAACAAAAGGCTTTTGACAGCTGCAGGGTATTTCATTTTTTTAATGCCGAATGAAAAATCAATACATTTTTCTAGGTTATACATATTCAGAACAGGCTTGATATTTCCATTATAATGGAAAATGGGTGTCTGCACATCTCGCCTGTCAGAGCTGCACCACCGCATTTTCCAAGCCACTGCTAAATATTTCAAACCTGATTTGATTGTGGTTCATGACAGCTAATGTTTCTCAGCTCCTGAGCCTGCCGGAGGGTGGGGAGCCAAGCGCACGCTCTTTCTCTCTCATCCCTACATTTCCGCCACCCCCGAAATGCCCCTTCCCCTTCGGGTAAGGGATCTGGGTTTGTTATGGAGAATCTGGCTGTGCGAGGATGAGGTGAGGGGGCTCGGGTTGTTCGGGCTGGCCTGGACCCAGCCAGGGTTTGCCGAATTCTGCCCTCACACTTGCTGGGTTTGGAGGGGGCAGAGATGCGGCAGTGTGATCCTGTGCGGGGATTCGGGCGCGTTTTCAGTCTGTAACTGAGTCAGAGACTCCCTGACATCTGCAGATGTCAGACACTCATGATTTTCCAGACTCTTCTCCCTCTCTCCCCCCCATAGTGAATGGTTTAGTTTTAAATTAAAAGGAAATGCCACTGTCTGAAGTGATTTATTCATGAAGGAAGAAAAGACTCTTCCTCAGCTGTTGCATGGGGCAGGTTTCGTACGACGAAGAGCAGGCTCCTTGGACTGCAGTGACGCTGCTCGCTCGGTCCTGACCAGTGGCACCCGTGTCCTCCATGGGCTGCGGTCACAGCTCTGATGAAGGCTCCCAGGTCTGGGGTGGACCCACGGGCTCCTGCAGGACATGGCCCTTGGCAGAGTCCACACCTCTGGGTTCAGCCCCTGTGCTCTCCCCAGGTCCTGGTCACTCCTCAGCCTGCAGAGCCCCCAGGACAGTGCTGAGGGACTGGACACCTCCTGGGTATCGGGCAGGGACACTTCTCAGGGTGTAGAGTCCCTTTTTAACCACAGAACAACTGGTAGAGGTTTCTTCAGGCTCTTTAAGGAAGCATGGCCCAGCCGTGGGGTACGTGGGTCCTAGGCAGTGACAAAAGGCTCGTGGTGGTTTGGAAATAAATCCCCCACATCTTGCTGACCACGGTTTCCGTCAGCCTTTGGTCACAAGACTGCGGGTCCCTCCTGGGGGGCTCTTTGGGTGTTAAGTGGTCAGCTCTGCTCCGTGGCACGGGAACAGCATGACACCGGGATGCATGGGCGGTTGAAATGAAAGCTCCAAAGCTCCTCACTGGGTGTGCAGCAGGTTGAGGAGAAAAGCAGACCTGTCCCTACCGGTTGTGATGCTGGCCTTGTCCCCTCAGAAAGGTGCCCCAGAGAAAAGCAGGAGGGTAGATGGTTGGGTGCCATTGGCATGTGCATTTGCTTCCCAGATCTGCCCTCACACCTCGCCACTGCCACCGAGCAGCTGCAGAGCTGTCATGGGAGAGCGTGGGCGCAGATCTGTTAAACAGGAGCTCAGTTCATGCCAGCGTTGGAGCATCTCCGTGTCAGATGGGTCAGAGCACCCCTGGGCCCTGCGTGGTCTGTGCCTGGTTCCAGAGGCTCCAGCAGTGGGGCCCAGCTGAGGAGCAGGGTCGAGGACGCTCTCCTGACCATCCCAGTTTGAACACCAGTGAGTGTGAGACACGTTGGGATGAGTGCAGGGAACAGAGCTGCCTCCAGGCTTCCAAAAAACTCTGCTGGAAGAGGATCAGCAGGCAGCCAGGGATTAACGCTTCCCCTTCCCGAGCCCCTGCAATTGGCGGCTGCGTCCCCAGGGTCCATGGGTGCAGGAGCACCCAGGGGTACAAGGAATCGTCCCTGGCAAAGGCCCCAGGAGCAAGGAGCTGAGTACAGGAAGGACCAGGGCCTTTCCCAGCTGATTCAAAGGCTCCCTGGGCAGATGCATCTTGTACTCGGTTCCCCTCCCAGCCTGCTTTAAAAAAACACTCTTCAGAAATAATATCATCTCAGGCCAAGAAGGAGGAGGGACTGAAGCACACATCCATATGTTTTTTGCTGCCCAGCACAGAAGCGCTGAGCAGAGGCAGCTCCTGTCCCCGGAGCAGCC